TGTCGGGTCACCATTGAATATATACCACCATCTTTGTAATATATCATTCGCTGTAGCTGTATTATCAATACCATATGCTGATAGTAAAAAAGGACTTGGAATTGTATTTTGAGTTGATGATTGTACTGGCTGAATCATATGTACATTTAATAATGATGATTTATCAACTGAATTGAACCATAATTTCAATGTATCTAATGAATCAGTATTATAATACTCTTTAATCGGTACCCCATGATCAAGTGGCGTAGGGAATCCAATAAATTTATTTGTTATTGAATCATATTTGATTTTTTTTATAATACCAGTGCCGTCCTCGGAAATAAATGCATATTGAAGATTCAGATTCTCAAAATGACTTTGAAGCTGATCGGATCGAAATTCTGCTTCACTAATTTCTGAATTTGAATTTAAAATTAATGTAGTCAACATTGTTAAACTTGGTAATGAGCCGGGTATGTTTAATCGAATAAATTCATATGTGAGTTTTCCACCTAAAATATATAACGATAAAGCGAAGTCCTTGACTTTGTCACTGTATCGAAAATGATTACTTGACTTTGTCAAGTTATTAGTAATAGTATTAATAAAATCTATTAAAAAATCATTTTTGTTTGCATTAGTAACACCTTCACTTCCAATTCGCTGATAAAAAACAACCAAATTTTTTAACAATGGATGTTTGTTGATAAGATCGAGTGTTAAACTTGAATCTACATCCATATAATTATTTTCATTTATTTTATTTTGTTGTTGCTTTAAATAATCAAGTAAATGATTTAAATTATTAATTAATCCGACTTTTACGAGAAATTTATCATCTTCAAGCTCCAAACATGCCGCTTTTCTAATCAACAAGAAATCGAGCTGGGAACATTCCATTGTAAATATATCAAAAATATTTAGGTAGCGGATTAAAGATTGTGTAGATGTTATTGACTGAAACTTTAAAATATCTACTATTTGTTGTCCAACTAATGTACGAACAAAACCATAAAATTCATCATTTTTTAAATAGAACACATTATCTGGCATCGTATCATCCATCAGAAGAAAAATAATTAATGTTTTGTTTATTTAGAAAAAATAAGTTGAATAATGTTAATGTAGAATATGTTGAAAGACTTTAAGTTATGACACTTAAATAAATTCTAGTTGACAAACAGCTGTGATGAATCATATACCGATAAACTGGAAAAAACCATTATCGTAAAAGATGGAATGTCGCTAAAAAACAACAAGTGTTAATCACGATATAGAGCGACAAATTTCGAGAAACTATTGGCTAATTCTTTTACTGGATTATACCTGCTGATTCAAAGTTAATATCCATTATATTTTCTTCGTTTCAGTATGTGTCATTTTGGAGAGAAGTTTTTTTTTATATAGACAATCATAGTTTTTCTTTTTTGGATAACTGATAATATATTGAAGAATGTTTCAAACAGATATTCTTATTAATATATCCGTATTGCCATCAAATATAATGTCATTACGTGATAATAATTTTAGTGATTTTGTTCAGGAAGAGGCTAGTCATGCTGCTGCTGCTCTATTCGAATTACAAGGTATCAATAGTGTGAAGTCATTGTTGATGATAGATGATGTTTTTTCTATTATGACAGTGAAGAGCAAAAGTCTTGATGAATTTAAAAATAAGTATGGTTATATTCAAGATGATGGTACATGTGTAATACAACCTGGTGTTAAAGGAAATACAGAATATCTCATTAGTTTGTTGAAGAAAAAATGTGTTGATAATGCAAAATTACTTAAATCCTCGAAACACAATCAATTATCATCATTAACTACAACTACAGATACATAATCAACAATACCAAAGCCTACATCATCTGTTGTATCGGATAGCTTACCAGGAAGTATACCTTCAAAATCTTCTAATCTATCAATTTCTGAACATAAATCATACATAATTAATACATTAAATAACTGGTGCAAGAACAACAAATCAGAAGATAATAATGTACAATTTTCTTTAGTTGAAGGCAAGGATTATTTTATTTCATTACAAAATGATTCAAGTGGTACATTAAAATGTTACATAAAGTGCTGCTGTGAAAAATTGATAACATTAGTATTTAGGCATGAAAAATTTCAACTGTCAAATTTTTATCGTCATTTACAAGGTTTAACTAATGAATGTCCTGCATTAAAAAACAATTTTTATAATTCTTCAATATCATCACCATTATCAACAAATAATCAGCAACCATTGATCACATCAGATAATGTACTTCAACAAATTGTATCACCAAATTCAATATCTATTATATCATCGTCAGATACAATACAATCGAATTCAACTTCAGTCACAGCATCTTCTATGTCCAAATCAACAGTAGATGATGAAACTTGTGATGAAAACATTATTGAACAACCATCATCCTCAAAAACGAAAAGACAAGTGAAAAGAAAAGTTTAAGCAATAGAACCTTCAAATAACACAAGAGAATCAGCAAAAAGAACAAGAAGAAGATAATTTTTATATACCACACATTGTTTTATTTATACTTCTTCGATTATTTCTTTCGTGCTCTCTTATATAGTAAGGTTTTATATTAAATTGATGTTTTTAACTTAATAATTCACTTTCTTTTCTTATATAGTTAATCGGTTATATCAATTATTCAATTTTTACATTTTTATGTTCGTTTGGTTTTCATTTTTATATTTTACAGTTGTTTTTAAACAAATAAATAAGTTAATTTTTTCTAATAAAGAAACTTTTTAATATAAATATTTCTTGATCAATTTCTGTAGTCTTCACAAATATTCTTTTTGTTAATTTTTTTTCTCTGTTTTCAAAAGAGAATTGAGAAAATGAAAACTATCATATTTTTATATTTCTAAGAATTTCATATCATAGTGGATTCAGCTGGATTCAAGCGGATTCAAGTGGATTCAAGTGGATCCAAGCGGATTCATGTGGATTCAAGTGGATTCATGGATTCTGCTGTTTCCCCCTTGAGGAAATCTCAGATATTGGCAGAGAAGATGATATATACTTTCATATACATATAACATAGGAGAAGGGCAGGAAAAAAAACTAAATTATTAATCTGAAGGAAATCTCAAATGCTACCACAGAAGGTGACAAGCAATATCATACATATATGAAGATTGATGTAGGGTAGAAAATAGGAAGCAAATTTAGAAATTTTGACGAAATCTCGAAGAAATGTCTAAACTTTCTTTTTGTTGAATATGCTACATATATCTCATATGTATATAGTATTATACATTATTGTCTGTAAAAAAAATTATTTTACAATTGATAGTATATGTGTCAACTTTATATAATATAACATTATATTCTATTTTTCTGAAACTATTGGTAGTACAACAATTGTGGTATGATATCAGTGAATCAGTTTGATTTTTCTATTTTTAAATACATTCGTGCTAATAGATAACGATCGATATTCAAATGTCGTCATATTCGAACATCATGATTGTACTACAACGGCAATCATATATATAGATCTGCTAATATAAAGATTACTATTTCTGATTACAAACAATAATTGATATGAATATTTTCATTCATTCGTGCTTGATCCGGTTTTTACTAATGAAACGTTTAGTTCGACAATAGTCGTAGTATTTTTTTAATAATTCAATTTTACTTTCCTTTGATAAATTATACTAATAACTATGTTTGTCAAAATATTGCTATTAACAGCTTCCGATTAAATGAAATACATTATAATAAGAAAGTCTACTTTATATTTTATTAAATTGTTGTTTCAGAAGAAATAATATACATTCAACCACTTCCTTTTCAACGCGACGTCATGTCATTGTGAAATATCATTTTGTATGATGTAAAATATGTAATCTACTCTCGGTTCAAGTTATAAGAGTTCAAGTTACAAATAACTCGTACCAATTTTTTATGTTTACTTTATCACTTATACAACTGGTCAATTCATTTCTTATACTTTTGTTAATAATTAAGCAGTTCTGAACATTAACATAACGGTTTTATTTTTATTCATTTTCATGTTCAACATCTATTTATCTTATATTATTTTCAAACGTTACCCACGTTCTTTTATTCTGTATGTTCGACTATAATGATAACAGAATTATCACGTACTTTTGAAAATAAACAAGACTTTCTTTTATCATCATCATTTAGTATTTCTTTCGGTTTGAATAAAAAAAGAGTAACCTATGATAATAAGATTATTGTGTAAAATAGACCACCGAATAATAAAATCAAATGAGAATTTTTGTAGACTACTTCTGGTTCATAATCAGTCAGTTTATAATAATTAGAGACAAACCTCACTTAGAATTTTTTCTGATACATGTTTAGATAGACTCAAAAACAATAGACATATTTATCCTAGGAAACGAAAGCAATAACTATTGATAGAATGTTTTTGAACTGAAAAGCATCATTTGTATTGAATTAATGTGTAGCACGATAAAATTTATATTGTCAACAACGATCAATTGCGTTTGAAATATTGAAAAAAATTTAATTAATAATCTGCACTAAATTCCCTCTACGTAAAGAGTAAAAATAGATAGTAGATCAGAACATCGTATTAGAGTATTTATTTCATCAACCAACTTTCTAGTTTTGATACTATAAATATAAATATATCAGAAGAACAACAAAATCAAAAGAATTCTTAAAATAATCAAATGGTATAATTTATTGTTCATAATATTATTGACTATATTGTATGATATTTATCATCTCTTTGATTAGGACGACACTATAAAGAATTTATATTCATCACTATCATATTATCGAACATCAAATATATATTCAATTTCATTTATTGCAATACAATTTTGTGAGCTGTAGAAAAATTACTTCATAAGTTTCTTAATATTCGAAACGTTCAGGTTGAAAGTATCGCATATGAAATAAAATACATCAATAAAAAATGATACAATCAATCTATTCATTGTTTCAAATATAGTGTATGTTCTATAATCAAAAAACATGAACGCTGATAACAAAGACTAATAATACATACAATGAATATATTTTCTCATATTTTAGTTTTATTATTTTCAATTATGTGTATTGTAAATCATCGTTATAAACTATGCATTCAAAAGAAGGTCTATAATAGATATCTAATAGTTAAAAGCTTCACAGAGACTTCGTTGATACTTAATAATGAACAATTGAAACTCATTAGGAATATTTCGTTTGGAACTAAAATTTTGCAATTTAATCGAGGGTGTGGGTGGGTGTGGGTGTGAGAGCGATTAGTGCATGCGACACTCGCACTCACACCCACACCCACCCACCCACACCCATACCCTGTATGCTTATTTGTTATAATAAACGATTGTAGCATGAAGAAACCGTTTATAACGAGATTATATCGTAAGAAACTACCTACAGAAAAATACATTTTTTATGTCATTCAATACGAATGGGTCATTTTTGACCCCAGCTTTTTTAACCAATCGCATTTACTCTTATTAAACTAATCATTTTTTAAATGGATATGTATAAAGACACGGTGTCCTTAGTAAAACATATCAATCACTCAAACAAGAAAATGGTCAGTTTTTGGAATTGACATTCAAACGCATAAAATGAAAACTACTAGTGACCATTGTCCAGTAATTTCAGTTATACCTATGAAAAGTAGGAAACAGGTTAACGGTAAATCAATTCATTGGAAAGTTTTTAGTTCCCTCTACTGAAAGGAGGGTATTACGCAGAGTGAGTTAATACGTTCGTTCGTTTGTCCCTTCGTTCGTTCGTTCGTTCACTCTGATCGGTTAATTAAAACCTCTACTACTTTCTTGCTATAAGGGTTGACCGAAGGGTTTTCGGGGTCGAGGAACTCGAATCTGACATAATTTTTTTAAGATTTTTTTCAAGTATTCGTTTTTTTAAACAAACGACCACTTTTTTACAAAAAAAATTTTTTTTGTATAAAGTTTGATCAAAGGTAATCGAGGTCGGGGAACTCGTGTCCGATGTTGGTTGTTTAAAAATTGCAGAAATGAAGAATTTGATAATAGTTCACAATAATATTTTATTGAGAAGAAAGTTAAAGGTAGAACAATGGCAGCAGTGTCTTTGTTATTGTCTGGGATAATGGGTTATTATGAGAAAAGTTACTTGAAATAAGATAGGGCTGCATGAAATAATGAGTTGATTCCAAATCAAATATAGAGATAAATCAACGTTTTCGATATGAATGATCTCAACTTAATTTTTAATGTGCCGATCATATCTCAGACTGTACGATAAGTTGAATGTTTAGATTGATGGAGAAGAGAATAGACGAGTAGATGTGATGTCCCCGGAAAAGATTAATTGTTTTAAAATAGGAAGTGACTATGTACACACATATACACATGAGTGTACGTAACTAGTCTGTTATGTATACATAGTCAAGTGATTATGTGCACCCACATAGGTATCATCAATTAATTAGTAAATATTAAGTTATGTCATAGCCTTGTATGTACTTGAGCATTAGGATAAACAAAATATATTAGTTTTTTAGTAATTTTACTTCATTAGTTTTTTATTACATTTCAATAAAATATAAATTAAGTTGTATAGTTACATAAGTATCGAAAGACGAGTTAATTCAAATAGGGAACAATTAGTTTAGAAAAAAATGTTAACATCTCTCTAGGTTTTCAAGAGAAGTTTCTGCATATTTTTATTATTTTCAATATATTTGGCATGATACTCACGTAAGATATCTGATCATAAAACAATAAAAATAGAACGTCTGTAGTGGATGACTTAACAAATTACAAACTTTTCAAATACAATACAGTCTAAAGCTGGAATTGTTATCTAGCAATTATAATTTGAATTAAAAATAAAAAGTCGAGTTCTTCAGTAGATGTACGTGTAGTTTAGTTCATGTAAAATTACATAAGACATTAATATTTAAAAATTCTTAATCTAATATTTTAAAAAATAAACTATACACCAAAACCAGCTGATCATGTCGTATTGTCATAAACACTAAGAGTCGAATTTATTTTTTATTATGTTTATAATTATACGTTTTTAGAAAGAATCATTATACTGCTACTTTCTTCTGTTGGAAAAATTACGATGAATTACTATAATATATGCAATTCTTTTTTTTTGTTCGAGAAAAACAAAACTATACATTGAAAGAGTTTACATCGATGTTTTATTTAAAATATATGTAACTTGATATAAACATCCATTCCTATAATATTTAACTTTATGAAATTCTTAAATATGACATGTAAAATTCAAAATTTATTACAAGATAAATATCAAACACATACACGCATATGTATTTATCATATTGAGAATATAAATATATTATATTATGAAATAATATATATATACAACATAAAATAATCATCATAATTATTTTTCATTTCTTTGTAAGATTTTACATGATTGTATTTTTAATATTATTATATTCTTATATTCTTATTCATTAGTTTCATTCAGTTATTTTTTACCTTTCTATCACTTTCATATATAATATGAAAACGAGTAAATCTATTGTATTAATCAGGATTTTGATCCAGCTATTTCTTTTTTTTCTTTAAACTTTCATGTATAGTATGAAAGCGAATTAATCAATTTTAGTATTCAGCTTTTCTTGTTTTCCTTCGTTTTTGTATTTAGTATGAAGATCAATAAATTTATTTATTTGTTTCAGGTATTAAATAAATAAGACAATTCTTACCATTAATATTATAATACTAGATATAGAATAAAATATCTAGTTGTGTATGTATCTATATTTATTATATATAGTTATTTCTACATTTATATAAATTGTTAAATTATCTATTCATTGAATAAATATGATACATATATATCAATCGTCAGCATAAGTTCTTTCTTACTGCTTCCCTAATTTATTTTATTCTATATTTTAATGTTTCATAGATAATTTTATGTCGAATCATTTGTTTCTATTTCTATAGATGTCATATAATGAAATACAATTGTTTTTTTTATATTTATCACTTCACAATTAAACTATATAATACATATAAAAATAATATATAATGTTATTGTATTTCTTTACTCGATTTTGTTTTATTATAGTCAATCATATAATTACAAAATACAATAATAAATATATTTCTATAAATCTTCATACATATAGATATTATTCAATTATATCTTTTAATTGTTATCATTATGAATATAACAAATAGATATTTTATTCAACGTCTATTTATTTATTATCATTTTCTTTCAAATGTTAATTTTTTCGCTTTGTTTTTCATAACAGGACGAATAATCACATGTTGAAAGTGTGGCGTATCTTTTTTTAGTGCATGACAGAATGTAGTCGAAATTTTGATTAGTCAATTGGCTATCTTTGTTGTATGAAAGCTGAATGAGTTGAATGTAAAGCAAAAATAAGTTGCTATATGTTCTGTGTGTTTGATCTGCTTTAATATTTGGTTAACCGTTGTATGTATTAATTATTTATGAAATATTAGTTGAACATTTCACGAGTTTATTTATTATAAATTCATGCATACAAATTTAATTCGATACTCTTTCAAACCGTCAACAATGCTAACAAGATAGGAAGAATTATCTTAAACATGCAAATATTTACAATCTATCAGATATCAGAAGAAAATGTTCAATGAAATAAATTAATAACAAATTTCTACAATTATACAGATAAGCACCGCAAGCATTCAAAGAAAACAAAAAATTTGTCATTTAAATAGAATTTAAGTATGTCCATTTGTACTAGTACCATTGGTGTTATTCGACTGATTAATTTTTTTTGACGATAATTCACTCTGCTAAAAAGATATTAAATAATAACAGTTAGTTAGAAGATATTTTAAATCTAGCGACGTATATTTTTCAATGATATGGCTACCTTTTCAATTAAGGATGATGATGATGGTGATGTTTTTTGAACAATTTTGTTCGTTTTATTTAATGATTCAGCTTTTTCTTTTCGTTTATGTACACTTGATTCTTTTTTGTTTATTTTACTTGTTTCAATTATTGTCCAATGTGAACCTCGATAAGGCTCACGCATTACTGGTGCCCTTTTGAAAACAAGTTTCATCAACATTGTTTGTGGACGATCAGACATCCTTCTATTTGAATCGGAAAATAGGAAATTTTATCTAAATTAAAGCTGATGTTGATATAGAAGTAAACAAAAAGAATCAATTTTTTTTTGTGAAGTTTTATTTATAAAACAAAATGTGCGAATGAATTTGTACAATTAAAGGTACTGTACTCTGAATTTCATTTCAATAAGAACGTTTCGGTTTATATATTTGCTTGAAATTATTTTTTTTAATAAATGTAATTTAATACAAAAAATTTAGTTTAAATCAAATCAAATATTAATTCATAAGAAAAGTTTTTGTTTCTATGTAGCACAACATAAGTATCTAAATGAGATTAGTCAGTGTTTTTTTAAAGCAAATGCACGATAATCTAATTGACCAATAGCATAAAATCCATTCATAATATGCTGCTGTTTAAGTCCATACACTTCTTGAGAATCGGACTTGACTGATTCGTAGTACAAACGAAATAAAATTAAACCTAAAACAATAACGAGAAAGTTATTTACTTACTAAGCGAAGTTTTATTAATTTCTTACTATCCTCAAATGTAAATGAAATCTTATATATCGAGTTTTTCGACATTCGAGCAACAGTTAATATATTAATAGCTCGCAATAATTTGTTATTTGTATGAGCTATCACATTAAGCAGTATCTAAAATGTCGATGGTGTTCAAAATCAAAGCAAATATTCAGAACATTAATATACCTCAGAACAGTTATGTTGTTCCAGTTTATATTTTAATAGTTCGATTTCAGCTAGATAGTGAAACATACGAGAAGTCATCAAAAACAAAAACGTAACCGGCTATACGGAAAAAGTCGAAAAAATATTTTTTTAGCTAATTATTATGTTAAACTACCGTATTTGTGTCTAAATCATCTAAGTAAGATCTTTGAGATAATATTGAAGCAAGTATTGATATCATTTTAGCATCAACAGCAGCCTTTATAATAAAAATAATTATAAAAATGCATAATATTGAATGATAGTAAAAAAAAATACGTTAATTTCATTCTAAACTCACAAAGCACAACTTGGACGATGCTCTCATATAGGAACACAGACCGGTTAACGCAGAAGTGATCGATTGCCATGCTTCAGAATTTTCACAAGGACTTCTATTTTTCAATGTAAGAACAGCCAGACAAAGTCCTATTATGAGATTTATATAGAAATTTAATGAAAACTTTTAATACGGACCAGCGTAGTTTTTATCAATCAATTTTGATATCACGATGTACAATAGATCTGGTGATGATCGTACCAAATGATATAAATTTTCAATATATTCTAATGGTTGTGCAAAATACTGTAAAGAATAATAATCATTTTTCAATAAGTTCTCAACTTCTTGCAAAGCTTCATCAAGCTATATAAAAATTTATTATCATGAAAATTTTTGTTAAAAGTATTAATCAAAAAAACTTCAATTAAATATCGACGATATCTTGTATTGTTCGTTTCAAGTTGAACATCACACTAAACGAAAAATACGAACAAAGTTTCATTCTTGGCGGAAAATAGTTTTCATATGATGTACTAACCTTATTCAGAACAGATTCAATGTCTAAACAAGAACAAAAATAAGTTCAATACTATACTGCAAATGTCATATATAATGACTCACCTTTATTTACTGTCTTTTTGATTGAAATATATATAACAATTGCACACCATAATATTGTCATGAGAAAGACTGAAGAAAATTGAATTATAATTAATTCAGATCTGTATTTTTCCATTGTAATATTTAATGCATTGTTAAATATATTCGATATGTTATATGGAATACCATTAAATATTATTGCTGAGTTCCCATTGCCCGGTATACTAACATCACCACCTAGTTGAAGTGTTGTGCATCTAGGGCCCATATTCAAAATAGTTTTTTTCGGATATCGAAGGAAGTTTAAAAGATAAGCTTAACGTTAATAATATTTTATCTAAAAGCAGATTAATATGATAAATATCTTAAAAATTACACAATACCTAGCACATTTTTTCAAGCAAATGGGAAATTATTTATTGCAAGAGAACAAATATTTTTTTCTCTTATTATTTAGCATTTAATTTTACTTAAACTACTACTATATTGACCGTTGTTCTTATAAACAGAAAAAAATCTACATCCCAGAGACAACCTATACAATTAACAACCTAATCTTATGTAATATTATTCAACCATTGATTAGAAAATGTCACATATACATATAACTAAGTGTTTGTGCATTACAATTTTTTATCGGAATCTAGACAATTGCTTAATTTAGAAAGGACGGAGGCCAATAAGAACATAAATCGGCCCACTGACTTTTTATCGGCAGATCGCTCTAGAAACTATATAGGATGATAGATCTTGACAAGGCGAACATTTTGATGTAATTTTTGATAGGTTTTGATCCTACTTTTATATGTTAACTTGACCTATCTTTATATACCATTTTTCTAGCCCTGGAGACTCACTATTTCGACGATATCTCGACTAAAGCATAATACCTGTCCGTGATTTTTTTACCATAAGTATATATCGATAGGACC